GGGTTTGATCTGAGGTCCAAAAAATTTAATAAAAACTCATGACATTTACACAACTGTAGAAGTTATTCAATTTAAAAAAAACCCACCTGCAAGAAGAGATCCATTTAAACTGTTCTCAACCTATGGAGAATAGTGCTAGAACCAAGAAAGAGCCATAGGTTTTCAAATCAAACTCACTGCAGGACCTGATGAAAGGACCTGACCTGTCAAATGAGGGATTCCACACTGTAATGAGAACAATAACCTCTAATGTCATTTGTGTGAAGCCCCAGCACCTTGTCCAGCATGTGACATGTGATGGGAACTCAGTAAATAGCCATTTTCTTTCCTGTTAAGGTGTTTGGCCCATGCGTGACTCTGGCTGTGTAAGAATTCACAACTAAAAGAAGAGATAGATGCAGAGAGAAAGTTTATTTTACTTTCCCGAAGGCAAAGGGACAGTGCATTGCTAATCAGTACAAAGGCAAGAAATAAACTGTGGCCTGCTCTTTTAAAGGGTAATGGCTGCTGTTGCTAGAAGGGAAGGGAATTTTGGGGCTGAGTTGAACAGACATCAGGGAGGTTGTTTTGGGAAAGGTTTGCTTGCTTGTTTTAGTCCAGGCTGATGTCCTAGGGAGGTGTCTTTATCAGCATCTTCACAAACCAGTAAAACATTCTTAGAGCAAAAGTTACAAAGAGTTCAAAAGAGGAGCAGCTTGGGTTTGAAAGGGAGGGAGTAGAGTTCTTCTACTAATTGGAAACTTTCCTGCCCAGATTTCCCCACTCATTAAATCCTCAGGGAGGAGAGGTATGTAGCCTTGAAAGTATCTTATCTTGTCTTGCAGTTTGAACAAAGGGGCTGTTTGAATCAGAGCAGCTAACAGTCTTAGGGTTAAATTACCAGGTGCTTCTCATAAATTGTGGCTGACCACAAAAAGAAAAAGGCATTTTTTTCTGTCCTTACATTCTCTTCACAATTCTAAGAGATTTTCTGTCTCAGCATCAGGAATATGGGAATTTCAAATTAATGCTGAGATTACCAGATTATCCAATGAAACACAACCACTTTTTCTAGATGTGCTAGAGAAGGTTTTAGAGTGTGTCCTTTTTCCCATATGCCTGCCACCTAAAGCCCTATAGTTTTTGTTTGTTTGTTTGTTTGTTTGTTTGTTTTTGTTTTAATCAAATTTTGACCTTAAACAAATCAGATGATTTGTTTGAAGATATATATAATTAAAGCTGTAATCCAGTGTGACTCAGTTGGTTGGAGTGTTGCCCTGAGCACTGAAAGGTCATGAGTTTGATTCCTTTTCGGGTTCGATTCTGGGTCGGGAGGCAGCTGATTGATGTATCTCATATTGATGTTTTTCTCTCTCCTTCTTCCTCTCCTTCTCTGGAATCAATATAATAAAATAAAAATTTAAAGGAAAAAAAAAAAAAAAAGCTCTAACCCATTGATCCTAAATTTTATATTACCATCTGAAATTTAAAACAACAACACATTTTCATTGATTTCAGAGAGGAAGGGAAAGAGAGAGAGAGAGAGAGAGAGAGAAACATCAATGTTGAGAGAGAATCATTGATTGGCTGCTTCCTGCATGCCCCATACTGGGTATCAAGGCTGAAACCTGGGCATGTGCCTGACCAGGACTCAAACTGTCACCTCCTGACTCATAGATCTATGCTCCATTACTGAGCCACACCAGCCAGGCACTTTTTGAAACTTTAGCATCATGTAGCTATTGACCAGTTTCTACAAATCTCAGGTAAGATTTCAAATTTTCAGAATATTATTTATCTGAAATATACATTCAAGAAAATGCTCCATAACTATTTTCCTTTCAGTGTGAATTTTACCTAGAATTCCTCCTGTCTTTTTGTTGCTTTTCAATGTGTTGTCCAGCGTTGAGGATCCAACCAGATGCATCTGTTCTCTGAGCTCAGACAAAAACCACCTAGAATCCTAAAGTGTTAAGATGGTGCCACTGCCACTGATTGGGTGCCAGGTCCTCACTGTGAAAGGACAGCCTTGGACCAAATATTGTTAAGGCCCTTCCAAGCTCTATATTTCTATGATCAATGGTCAAACAATGAACAGCAAACTCACCAACCAACCATGCAAACTACATTTTCTGTTGCCAAATTCTCAGCTAAGAGGTCACTTTTTCTTTTTTTCTTAAGTGTGGGGAGCCTCCCAATTGTTCAAGGAAAGTGTCCCAACAAAACAAGTATCTGTAAGAAATAGTACTTTTAGCCACTATGTAAACATGACCTAAGAACAAAATATAAATAGGGCTTCAAACTTAAATAGGTATATTTAGCTCATGGACTTGCTTTTCCCAAGAATGGAAGATCTTTCTGTATAAAGTGTAATCATATACTTTTTCCTCTTAATGATGTTATACTAACAAAACCGTAAAGGTATATATTTGTAAAATGAAAAAAGGCTTATGGTATAATTATCTGTATTCAGAATTTTTCTTTTATTGAAAACACATTTTGTTAGAGTTTCTAGCCCAAATACTGTATCTGAAGGTGAAAGAAAAACAAATTAATATAAATGAACTTCATGGCACTTTAGTTGGAGTTTGACATGTAGGTCAGTCAGTCTCCAATAAGTAGAGTCATTCTAGAGAGCCAAGAAGACCCCTCCCATGTAATAGTTACTTAGAACAAGACGTACTGAGATGGGACTTACTGTGGTGATTGATCATTTAGAAATATACACAAATATCAAATCATTGTACATCTGAAATACATAATGTGGTGGGCCAATTATACCTCAACAAAGCAAAAGAACTCTTCTTGTAAAATCCCAGGTAGATTGGGAAAGGGGGACCCTTCTATTGCTGAGCTCCTAGATCAGGGTGAAAGATCTCCTCCCAATCAAAACAGGATGGACCTGGGGCTGCAGGCTCCTCCTTACTGAAGTCATTAGCATAGCACTTGACAGCCTTTAAGTTATTAACTTCTTTGCTGCCCCTACAGACAAAACATGTAGACCATTTGAAATTCCTGACCTTCACCGATTTCTTCATGGGAAATAGGGGACAGATGGATATGACTCTTAAGCTTCGGTCTAAGTGGCTGATCTCTACTTCCAGACTGTTCCACTGAGACTGTCTGCTCAGTGGTTGGCAAACTCATTAGTCAACAGAGCCAAATATCAACAGTAATTTCTTTTGAGAGCCGAAAACTGACTTCTGTGCATGGGCCACGAAGTTTCAATCGCACTGTAAGTACGTGCCCCCACGTATAATTTGTGGAAGAGCCACACTCAAGGGGCCAAGGAGCCGCATGTAGCTCTTAAGCCGTGGTTTGCCAACCACTGGTCTAGCTGTACTTTCCTCTCCCAGCCCCCTTTCCTTCTTAATTAACAGTGCTTAAAAGAAAGGCCTTCAACAATAGAAGTCAAATAGCCCACCCAGGAGGGAACTATTAAAATGTGCATTTCTGAGAGGATTTCCTGGGGACTGATTCAATTTACCTTCCTCTTCCAGAAGCTGGCTGTGATTGTGGAACCACAGGGTAAAATTAGGAATATGCTGGCCAAAACTTAGGAATGGTTTGCAAAGTGTATAATTTTGGGCTATGAAATGTAAAGACTATCCTCCAATCTTCTCACCCTTTTAGATGCTATCATGGAAATTTGTTTAAAGGCCCTGCCAAATGAGTTTTGGTTAAGTTCCAGAAAGATCAGGCATTATTTCAATTCAAAAGAAAAACAAAGGGATCTGACTACAGTTTGCAAGATAAAAATTCAAGGATTAAATCTGCCACTTGCTTCAGTACTACAATAATTTGACTTGTAGACACCTTTGGTAAGAAAAACATAGTAACTAGTCTAAAAAATTACTGAATTAATTCAGGTGCTGGTTTCCGAGATGAGGAACTAATAAGTAAGAGGTGTCTCCACTGTAGTTTTATCCACTCAAGGAGCCCTTGCTTCTTTAAAAAAAATGATTGATTTTTTAGAAGAGTGAGAAAGACAATGATTTGTTGTTCCATCCATTTATGCACCCATTGGTTGATTTTCCTAATACCCTACCAAGAATCCAATCACAACCTTGGTGTATCCAGAGGACGCTCTAACCAACTGGAGCAATTTTGAAGGCTCTGCGAGGTCGATAGAAGCACAGCTGACAGTCGGTTAATTCTGAAACCAAATCTACCTTAAGTCTATGTAGTGGGGGACAACTTCATCATTCCAAGCCAGAAGCCTTGTGGCTGAAGCCCTCCTGTTGGTGCGATTACAAGGAAAACCGAAAAAAAAAAGAAAACACAAAAAAAAACATATGCTAAAGAACTGGAGTTACTAGGACGTGCTGTGTAAGGCTTCGGTGACTCACCAACAAGTTATGACTGGGGTCTAGGCACTCAGGGAACACAGAAGAAACTGTAAAGTTGGGGCGCCTGCAGGGTCCCCCGCACTTTTATCTTTGATTGGCGGAACCACACAGACTTTTCTTTATGGCGTCACCAGGTACCTGCCTGTAGAAAGGTCCCCTCTCTGTGACATCACACCTCACTGACCAATGAAAGGCCTCAGTCTGCGGCCGAGGAGGGTTGTGGGCCCTTTTTTGTGAATGAAGCTCCACGGAACAGCCCTCCTGGGGTCCCCGGGCATCTGGGACTGCCCCACACCCGCCCCTCCGCTGCGGCGCAGTTCCCCAAGACAGTCCCGGCCTCCCGCGCAGCGCCTTCCCTCTGCCCCGCGCGCGGGCTGCGGGCACCTGGGGGCGGGCTGCGGGGCGCCGCAGGGGCTGCAGGCGCGGGAGCTGGGGCTGCGGCACGGGTCCCGCCGAGGTTGCAGAAGGGAGAAGGGCAGGCACGGTGGGCCTGGCCCCTCCTCCTCCTGTGCGGCCGCCTCCTGCCGGGCTCGGCGGGCACCCGTCTTTCCCGCAACGCCACTCTGCTCCCAGCGCCCCGAGAGTCCACGCGCGCGGCTGGCAGGGGCCTCCGTGGGCGGGCGGGCGCCCGGGACCATGGTGGTGGCCCCCTGATGGGCCGCGGCCGCCTCCATGAAGCGGAAGAGCCAGAGGCTGAGCTGGGCCACCGCGCCCCCCTGCTCGCCCCCCTGCTCTGAGCGCAGCTCATCGACCTCCCTGGGAGTGAAGAAGAGCCGCAGCTCCGCGTCGCAGGAACAGCGTCACCTGGATCAGCAGGACGACCTGTACCTGAACATCTCCGGTGAGCCGGCTGACCAATGCGTGGCGAGGAGCCCGGGACACTCGGCACCCTGCGTGGGGGTCCTAGCCACCGGCAGTGGAGGCAACTCCACCCCCAACAAAGCCCCAGCCCGCGCCACATTCCCTCCAGGAGCCTAGCGCCCGGGAAGCACCCCCTCCTAGTTGCTGTGTGTGTGTGTGTGTGTGTGTGTGTGTGTGTGTGTGTGTGTGTGTGTGTGTGTTGAGCTGTAACTTGATCTGTTTGACTCCCTCCTACCCAGCAAGGTGGGCCGAGGTCACCTTCCTAAATGGATAGGATCAGCTTGGCACCTCAGGCTTTTTCTAAGTTCGGATTGATACCACCTCCTGAGGTTCCCTGCCAGAGCCTGAACCTCCCTGTGGCCCCAGAGGATTCCCGGGACGCGCAGAACATGCCCGCAGGGGAGCTGTTTGTGTGCCGTGTGCCAAACCTCTGCTGCTGGGTAGGAAATAGAGCCCAGCCTGGGGCGGCGTGCCCTGCTGACGAGCCTGCCCTCTCCCCGCCCTGGTCCCTGTGCAAGCCCTCTTCCCGGCGCGGGCACGCGGTCGTTCCCCTCCCGGGCTTCAAGAAACAACATGTCACGTGGATGGTATTTGAACCGGTCAGCGTGCTGAATGCACTGAGTTGTCACTTGTGAGCAATCACATCCAGACACAGCAGGTAGAAAAGCAGCCCGTTGCTAGTTGTTTTCTTATTAGTGCTGATTCTACAGTTCTGGAAAGCTAATACATCGATTTTGGTAGCTATTGGGTTTGCCAGGATTGACACTGAAGTTTGTGAATGCATCACATACGATGGAGAGTGAGGAAACACTAAACAGCACAGCCAGTCACAGTTTTGTGGGAATTTGCAGTATGTTGTATGTGGTGTGTAATGTGTAAACCCTGGCATGCCTGGGGTTTTTATAAACTGTTGCCGCCCTTAGCCATTGGGGCACAAGGTGAGCTGGAGTGGTCAGAAAATTAGTTTTAAAAGTGTTCAAACACAGAAATGTAGAAATTACTAGTATATTCTAGGTTGATAGACAGTTGGAAACTAAGGTTCTTTAAAAAAAAAAGAGTGGAACGTTTGTCAGTGTTGGTGGGTGGCCCCTGGGAACAGAGGGTAAGCAGGAAGTGGTTACCTTAATCCCTGCCCCCTGCTGGAATCTGGTCCTCCCAAAAGTGTACACTTTGGAGATGGCCGGTGAAGAGGGCTGGGGGATGGCCGGTGAAGAGGGCTGGGAGATGGCGCTGGTCCTCCCAAAAGTGTACACTTTGGAGATGGCCGGTGAAGAGGGCTGGGGGATGGAGGGGGTGGAGGACCCATACGTTCCTTATGCCTTTGTTCTTTAAACCTCTTCAAAGGAACTTTGTTTTCTAGCATTTAATTTTAGGGCAAGTATTGCACTCACATGGTCCAGAACTCTTAGTATTTCTAAAGGTGCATAGGATTATGCAGTGAGAAGTTGGTCTCAGCCACTGGTATCCCTCCCCAGAGATAATGCATGTTCTTAGTTCCTTGTGACTGGGAGAAAGAGACTGAGTACTTATACAGAGATATTCTCTACCATACCCAGGCATGGTAGGAGACAAATCTCGTTTTTCGTGTTTTTCTTCACACTATTTCTTAGCAGACTGATTGTTATGCTTCACTGCTTTTAATTGCTGCTTAGGTCAAAGTAGGTATGGTTTTAAAACCATGAAAAAGGATATGGGGATTTAAATGTACATGTGTTTATTGCTTGTTTAGACAGCTCCCTACTGCTGAACATTTGGTTTGGCTCCAGTCAAAAAGGAAATTAGTTTTTTGTTTTTAAATACATTTTTATTGATTTCAGAGACGGAGAGAGAGGGAGATAGAAACATCAATGATGAGCCTGCAGGCTCCCCCTGTGGGATCAAGCCCCCAACCTGGGCATATGCCCTGACCGAGAATTGAACTGTGGTGGATGTTCAACCACTGAGCCTCAATGGTCAGGCAAAGGGAAGTTTTTTACAACAAAGTCAGGGGAGTAATTCCTCCTCCTTCATTGAGAAAAAAATGCAGTCTGGCTTTCCTGAGACAGTGATCAGTGAATTAACATACCTTCAGAAAATATCACAAACAACATATTGAGGAAAAAGTTGGTGCCATGTATAAAATCCAAGTGCTGTTATTTGGCTAACAAGCCCAGATGAATGAAAGGTTCCAGTATCAGTTTAAGATCACTCCGGGGAAGTAAGGGAATCAGCTTTCCCTGTGATTTCTTCAGGTGTTCCTTAGTGACAGTCTTAGCTTCCTGAAAAAAAAAAAAAAAAAGATACTAAATCAGTCTGTTTTGGTGTGATATACAAGACAAATTAAAGTGACTTGGAGTGCAGTATGTGGACTACTTTTTATTCAGCTTGTAAAATAAGGCCTCATTCTCAGCAAATGGCATCCTGGTCCCATTCTTGCCAACTTGTCTTTCTCTCACTGCTTCCTGAACATAAAAAGCAATGCCTGCACATTTTTAGTCAAACATTACTAAAGGAGGTATATAGATAATAGTTAGTCTCCCTCTCCAGTAATACTTTCTTTTCTTTAGTTTTCTATACATATGTGAGTTTCTACACATTGTGCCGTACCAGCTAGAGCAGTCCTGTTTTTAATGCCTGCATGTTATTGCATTGTGTGGCTGAGGTGTGATTTATTTAACGATAATAAATAAATGGTTACCTTGGGGGTTTTCCAGTCCTACTGCAAGTGGCTATGTAGCATCAGTGTGTTTACCCACATGTCTGACTACCTATAGAGTAAAATAGAGTGAAGAGAGACTGGTCGAAGTACATACAGGTTTATTCATTCATCAGTGTACTTTTTTGGTGACTATGAATAATGCTGCTATGAACATTCATGTATAAGTTTTGGAGTGGACATATGTTCTCAGTTCTTTTGGGTATATACGTAGGAGAGAAATTGCTGAATGGCATGGTTATTCCATGTTTAATTTTTTTGACCAACTGCCAGACTTTTTTCCAAAGCAGCTGTACCACCATTATTCCCACCAGCTATATACCAATGACTCCACATTTTTGCCAACACTTAAAAGATTGTGATGATTTTTTCCTATTGAGTTTGGCTTGTAAAGATTAATACACATCACTTCTGCCCTTAAATACTTTTTTTTTTACTTTAATCCCTTGTCATTTTTAAAAATATATATATTTTATTGATTTTGTACAGAAAGGAAAGGAGAGAGATAGAGAGCTAGAAACATTGATGAGAGAGAATCATCGATCAGCTGCCTCTTGCACACCCCCTACTGGGGATGTGCCCGCAACCAATGTACATGCCCTTGACCGGAATAGACCCCTGGTCCCTTCAATCCCCAAGCCGATGCTCTATCCATTGAGCCAAACCGGTTTCGGCAGTCCCTTGTCATTTTTATTGCAGCCTATTTTATCAGTAAGTTGAAGTCCTATTGGTTCCAGGATAGTTCATGTGTGTACATTCAATATAGAATGCTTAATGCCTATTTTGTTCTTGTAGTTCTTTATTCTGTGGTCACAGTTGTTCAGTGTCCGGCCAGCTACCTGGTTACACTGAGCTAAAATTTTTACTCTTACTAGGAGCAGACTGATGGGGGGTTATTCTGACACTGACCCCTTCACACTGTTATTGACCATTCACTGAGTTCTTGCCACAGTGCAGTGCAGTGCGATGAGTTTTTATCTGAGCTGTTCCTGTTGCAGTCCCAATGCACCATGTGAAAGGAAGGTCATAAGTACAATAGTATAATATAAGCTGCCGAGTAAAGCTATTATCAGAATTCGTTGTTACCAGTCAACGAATTTGGAAGTAGATAATTCAAGATGGGAGAAATACCAAAGGAAAAAATGTTGGGCACAGTCAGGATTTTGATTTTCATATAACCTTCTATGGCTACAAGTCTTAATCTTTTCGATCTCTGTATTCATGTCCCTTAAACTGGTCTCTCCATAAATGGCAATGCTAGTTCTCCTCTCCTCTTTATTAATATAGGAAAAGCATTTTAAAGATTATAGCACTGTGGAATCTATTTGATAATTTACAGGATTGATTGTTGGTATAGAACCTCAATTTATTTTACTTTCTTGTTCTTTAAATTCTTAATAAGTAAAGAAAGTTTATAACTACTAGCTAAAAAAGATTTCTGGTGGTTTGTCTTAAATTAAAAAAAAATGATTTTTTTTTAGTGTCTGCTATGATATTCTACCTTATAAAGAGTAACGGTAAACTATTTTATTGGAGAAGCTCTAATCGAGGTTAGGATTGTCATTTATAAGAACTTTAATGGTGTCTTGGATACTCATCAAATATAATTAAACAATACACACCCCATCCCCATTTTTTAGGAATAAAAAAAACACTAGACACTAGGGGGAAACACTAGGGGGAAATTATTCATTAATTTTAGAAATATGTATTGCATGCTCACTATGTAAAACAGTCATGTATGTTCATTGCTTGCAGTGATAAAAGTATATTTTCTTGCTAGAAAAGGAATGCTGGGGCATTATTTCAAGAGGAAATAAATTCATTTTTCTTCACAAGTTTCATATAGTAGATTATTGAGTTTCAATAACTGAAGCTCATCAAAGTATGTCCTATTCATTTTTAAAAAATAATATATTTTATTGATTTTTTACAGAGAGGAAGGGAGAGCGATAGAGAGTCAGAAACATCGATGAGAAAGAAACATCAAACATCTATCAGCTGTCTCCTGCACACACCCCACTGGGGATGTGCCCGCAACCACTGTACATGCCCTTGACCAGAATCTAACCCAGGATCCTTCATTCTGCAGGCCGATGCTCTATCCACTGAGCCAAACAGGTCTTGGCTGTCCTATTCATATTTCTTCTTGCTTATGACTTCTATATAAAAAAAGAAAATTATACTTTTAAATTTGTGCATAGTGTGAATTCATTTTCTTTATTTATGTACTTCATTCTTCAAAATCTTTACTTTTGATGGTGTCGTGTTATCTGCTTTAAGTA